AGGCTGGTGCAGAGGGACTCCTAGAGCAGAAGGGGGCAAAACGGAGGTTGGAATCTCCTGGGAATCTCTTGAGCGATTTGCTGCAGTAGATTGGCAAGGGTTTCCCGACTCCAAATTGTTTTGAGAACAGCAAGCTACTTGTTGCACCTAAATTAGGCTGCGCAAATGAAGAAAACTAGCCAGGTGTGGCCTTTTGTGGGAAACGACTATGAGCAGATTTGGTTTTCAAAACCAATTCCTGGGCCCTGTTCTTTAATTCTAACTGCGTGTCATTTGCATCTGACTGGTTGCTGGATCTTGGGATTCTAGCAGATCTGAGAATCCTGAAATCTGCTCATCTCTGTCCTAAGGGCAGAAGATGATGAGAATATAGGTAAAGGTAAAGGGACCCGACCATTAGGTCCAGTCGTGACCGACTCTGGGGTTGCGGCGCTCATCTCACTTTATTGACCGAGAGAGCTGGCGTCCAGCTTCCGGGTCATGTGGCCAGCATGATTAAGCCGCTTCTGGCGAACCAGAGCAGCGCACGGAAACGCCGTTTACCTTCCCGCCGGAGCAGTACCTATTTATCTACTTGCACTTTGAGGTGCTTTCGAACTGCTAGGTTGGCAGGAGCTGGGACCGAGCAATGGAAGCTCACCCCGTCACGGGGATTCAAACCGCCGACATTCTGATTGGCAAGTTCAAGGCTCTGTGGTTTAACCCACAGCGCCACCCGCGTCCCGATGAGAATATAGGTTGCTAGAATTTTTACATTACTTGATGCACCTTCATGATCAGCAAGCAATACTGCCTTCCTGTGAATACACATATTTACTTGCAAGCAAATCACACTGATTTCAGCAGCTCTCGCTTACAGCCACATCTGTTTAGATCCCCTCCCCCTTACTTGTGGTAATCTCGGACACAGTAGATTTTGTTCTCGCTGTCTACTGTGAAAGGCACTCCATCCAGACATTCATTGCAGATCACACAACGAAAGCAGCCAGGATGGTACGACTTCCCCAGAGCTTGCAAAATCTGCAATAAGAAACAGGAAAAAGCTTCTGAACGAGTATTCAGGTTTTTTAAAAAATGCAATACAGAAGCAATTGCAAAGGAGTGTAAGGAATATATAACGATTACAACAACATAAGGATGCTTGTAAATTGTTCCCTTAATGCTGCTCTGCTTCACAGCAACCATGCCACGACATCAGGAATCCTGTAATTAATTTGAGCAATTTTGGTAGGAAATTACTGGCAAGAGGCAGAAATGACAGAGCAAATTTCTGTCGTCGTAATTCCGGTGGAATTTGAAGCAAGCGAAACAGCACCCAGTCTGAAAAGACAGGGAGCAGGCAGCAAGAGTGAATTCAATCAGGACACAGAAAAAGAGAATAGAATTCCCAAACAACTATTGCGAGAAAACTCAGGTAAGATTTAAAATGTCTTTATTTTTATGCCCCGAAGGGCTGCTCTTGATTACAGCAACCAGCTGTTTGCTGATTCAAATTAGGCTGGAAGTTGCATGAGGCACCTGGGTTTAGCTTGTTTTTTCTGGCATACAAGTTTATGCAGAACCATTTAGTTAAGCGATTGACTAAAACCCGCCTGATTCCTTGACTAGGGTTTCGTTAATCAGCAGACAACCCTCGTTTGCATTCCAAAAGCCCTCCCCATTGTTAGAGAGGCTACAGTGGAAGCATTAAGAATCATGTGCAATCACAAGAGATTACAGAAAAAAATGAAATCAGCACTCTCCCACATATTTTGTTTTACAGGATGTGAGCATCTGCATACCTTAAAAAATGCACACACAAAAATTATAAACAAGACAACAAGCACACAATTGGATTTAGTTTGCTTTCCTCATTTTCCTTATTTCTCATACAATAAGAAGTGGATGGCATACAGCAGCAACATTTCATTCTTATATTTTCCATTTGGGACGTCATTCTAAAATTACGGGGACTTTCCCTCCATAGCGTGTTTTCCTTTTTTTTTTTTTTTTTTTTTTTTATATTTCAAAAATTTTATTGATTTCCCATTTTTTAAACAGTATATCCATATTTCAATATATCTCATACATTTTGAACTTCCTTCAGCGTCATTGACATTCATTCGTATTTATATCTTTAAAACACATTCCATTCTTTCATATTGCCATTCGTTCCTTCCTTCATACATTATTTCTATTAAACAATACTTATTAATTCTTTACAGTGCCTCTTTAAATCCCACTAGCGTTGTATTTACAAAGCATTTATTCTCCAGATAACCCACAAATTTCCCCCAGTCCTCAATAAACTTTTGATCCTTAGTATATCTGATTTTCCCTGTTAATTTATCCAACTCAGCGTATTCTGTCAGTTTTACTCTCCACTCTGCTATCGTTGGGATTTCTTCCTGCTTCCACTTCTGAGCTATCACAATTCTGGCTGCCGTTACCGCATACTGGAAGAGTTTGTAATCCTTCCTTTTGATATCCTTTCCCACAATGCCTAATAAAAAGGCTTCTGGCTTTTTTACAAAAGTGTAACTTAACATCTTTTAAGATCTTTCCATAGCGTGTTTTCCACACACAAAGGTCACTTACCATGTCCATGATCAAATGGCCACATATGAAACACCTGTCAGCTGATTGCTGGAAGCCTGAATACTGTAGTGGGAAAAGAAAGTATGCTTAAACCTTTTGAGTAAAAAGCATGAGCAATATTTTCCTACTTTCTTAACTGGAATAAGGCAAGCTGACCAGGGTGCATAGCCACTATAATGTCTCTGGGCACATGATTCCCCCCCCCAAAAAAAACCAGCTTTTATTACTTTTTTTAAAAGCTTCCTTCCTTCAATTAAAAAAAACAACATATTCCCAAATGCTAGTGCAACGAAGAGACAATGAGAACAAAGTCCCTAGTTTTAACCTCATTTTAGCAACAAAGACATTAGGCAATCCGCAGGCCTTCGACCTCAGACACTCATTTGCCTCAGTAGGTTGGATTAAGTATTGCTGAAATAACATATGTGAACACTAGGGCTGGCTTGAAAACCACTTGTCAGCTTAATAACACGGTGTATAAACAACCCTTGTGGACAAGCTCATACGTATGAGGCTCCTTTATATCTCAGACATAATCTCATAATTATATATTATGTAGCCAATATATGACTGTCCAATTACTGCCACTCAGTAATTGCCCAATCATTAGTAGTAAAAGCAACATGAATAAACAGCACGCTATGTTAAGTATAACTGGTTTAATTCACACTGAAATGGGAATTGCTGAAAGGGTTTGACTGTAAGATTCCATTGAAGCCAAGAGGAAGAAGTGGTCTCTGGGCTCCTTAATGGGCTGTTGTTGTTCTCAGGTAGCTCTGACCCGATGTTTTAACCTTAGAACACATGAGAGTGATCAAATGTCAAGTTTGTTATCTCAAAAGGGTGGTTGCTGAAGACTTTCTTCCCAGACTCTGTGAGAGTTGAGGATGCAAATGAAGCTCTCCAGGAAAACAGCTCCAGGCAAAATGGATGCTGAAAGGAGAGACAGACCCCTGTTTGGAATATTTTGTAATTTATAAAATGCTGAGCCTATGCCTTGGACTGGCATATGTCTTACGGAACTGTTTGGATGTAACATTAGATGTTTTGGTTTTGATTTGGAGAAAGTTTGGCAAGTGAAGTTTTAATTAAACATATGAGCTTCCATTGCTCAGTCCCAGCTCCTGCCAACCTAGCAGTTCGAAAGCACGTCAAAGTGCAAGTAGATCAATAGGTACTGCTCCGGCGGGAAGGTAAACGGCGTTTCCGTGCGCTGCTCTGGTTCGCCAGAAGTGGCTTAGTCATGCTGGCCACATGACCCGGAAGCTGTACACCGGCTCCCTCGGCCAATAAAGTGAGATGAGCGTTGCAACCCCAGAGTCGGCCATGACTGGACCTAACGGTCAGGGGTCCCTTTACCTTTACGGGCCTTGACAATGTTTCATATCCAAAAAGGAGTTGGTTTTCATGCATCCAGTCGCTTTAAACAGTGCAATATTAATATCTGCAATAGACCTAGATTTTCAGATTATTTATTTATTTATTTATTTTCCAGCTAAGATAGGTACACATGAGGACTGTGTGAACAAAAATCTAGAATCTATACTTGAATCTTGCACCTGCATTTCAGTCTGTAAGGACAAGTAAGGTAAAAGTACAAATCACAATGCTGCAATTCTTTTTGGGGTGGGGTGGGGGTGGGGAGTCATCAGCACTGATTGCCTCATTTAAGATCCTCTCTGCTTTCACAAAGGTGCTTAATCAGACACAACAGATAAGAAGAGGTGTTAATTCATGCCTTACTCATCAGATGTCAAGGAAATAAACAACTATCTGACAATTAGAAGACATCTGAAGGCAGCCCTGTTTAGGAAAGTTTTTAATGTTTGATGTTTCACTGTGTTTTTAATATTCTGTTGGGAGCCGCCCAGAGTGGCTGGGGAAACTCAGCCAGATGGGCACAGTATCAATAATAAATTATTATTAAAAATCCATCACTCTAGCAACATGTAGGACACATAACGGGACCCATTGCCAGTGGGTTCTCCACCCTGCAATCCTCAACCTCATTTAGCATTCCCTCCACCAGCAACAACAGGCAAAAGCCTGCAGCTTACTCACCAGGAAGTCTTCTTCACAAAACACTTTCCCATTAACAAAATAAAAGGCTTTTCCTCTCAGCTTCCGACCTGCAAGGGAAAAAAAGGGGGGGGGGGAAATATGATCAAAGACCAATAAATAAAACATCTGAATGCCACCAATGGAAGCCAGAAAGAAAGATGCAGTTTCAATGCAACTAAACGCTAGGACAGATGCCGTAATCCTGCCCTGTGCTTTTTTGTGCATCCACAATTCCTTACTGCACAACTGTAGCATGAAGAAGCAAAGGCTATATATCATTCAGGGCTTTTTAATTTATAGTGTAACTCCAGGCTAGGACCTGTGTCGTCATTATACTGCACAGGTGCACACAGGAAGTATTTGCTCTGATAGCTCAGTTGCTAAGACCGTGGTACTGATAACGCCAAGGTTGCAGGTTCAATCCCCGTATGGGACAGCTGCAAATTCCTGCATTGCAGGGGGCTGGACTAGATGGTCCTCAACGTCCCTTCCAACTCTACAATTCTATGATCCTACTTTAAAGGTAAAGGGACCCCTGACCATTAGGTCCCGTCGTTGCCGACTCTGGGGTTGCGGCGCTCATCTCGCTTTATTGGCCGAGGGAGCCGGCGTACAGCTTCCGGGTCATGTGGCCAGCATGACTAAGCCGCTTCTGGCGAACCAGAGCAGCGCACAGAAACGCCGTTTACCTTCCTGCCAGAGTGGTACCTATTTATCTACTTGCACTTTGACGTGCTTTGAAACTGCTAGGTTGGCAGAAGCAGGGACCGAGCAACGGGAGCTCACCCCATTGCGGGGATTCGAACCGCCGACCTTCAGATCGGCAAGTCCTAGGCTCTGTGGTTTAACCCACAGCGCCACCCGCGTCCCTATGATCCTACTTTAGAGCACCATTTCACCTGGTGCTGGCTTTTGACTCTAACCATGAGCCCCACACTTCCGTCCATCTCATTCTTCCTTCCCACCCTCAACTTTCGCATCTTAGAAAATGTGAAAAACTCGTTAAAAAAATAGAATAAAATGGGAGCAGCACTGCTATTGCAATCCATTTTCGGCAAGGGCCGTGACCAATTATGTCGGTCACAATTCGCCAATTAAAGAGAATGTGTTAAAGGATACAGAGGTGGCGACAGCAGGAGATAAACATTTCCCTATACCTGGCTCATTGCATTAACACCAGATGGCGCCTCTTGTCAAGGCAGGAAAAAATAGATGTTCAGTCCTTGTGGGATAAAATGATTCTGTAAATGTCCACCTTTTAATTTTAAATATTCCCAGTGCAAGAACCAAATTGTATAGGTTGTATCTGGTGTTGCTCCGCTGATAGTAAGCCTTCTGAATAAGGAAGGAGCTTAGAAGCGTTGTGTCAGGGAACTGCCATCGGACGGAAGGGAGGTGAAAGGGCTCACACAGGTTGGGAGAGACGCAGCAGCTGAAGAGGGAACCAGCAGGGAGGTGAAAGGGCTCACACAGGTTGGGAGAGACGCAGCAGCTGAAGAGGGAACCAGCAGGGAGGTGAAAGGGCTCACACAGGTTGGGAGAGACGCAGCAGCTGAAGAGGGAACCAGCAGGGGGAGAGGAGCTGAGCTGGAGGGATGGCTCAGAGACACTTCCAGCGAAAACAGTGGGGAGGTTTCAGGACCTCCTGTAAGAACACCCACTCCTCGCCGGAAACTGTCACGCAGAGATTCCAGAAGACGTGTTTCCGTTAAGGAGCTTTTATGTTGGAAGCGATTACGAAAGCAACCACTGTCGGAATCTGCTAGTGACTAGAGGAGCCATGTCTGAGGGGCTCCGTCACAGACAGAGGTTTGTGGACTTGAACAAACTCTGAGGGGATACGATTTTACGCACAAGCAGCTCATCATCCCATCACAGCATTCCGACAGTCTTTGAAAGCAGCTTGTGCAGGAGAAGGCATCATGAGCAACCCAGCCGGAACCGGAGAAGCAGGAGCTGGAGTGGGTCCAAGCCTGGAAGAAAGGTACCGGGTGTTGGAGGTCCAGCTAGCGATGCAGACGGCGAGGCTTGAGGAGAGGAGGGCTCAGGATGCAGACAAAAGGGAAAGCCACCCAGCTCGCCAGAAAGGTACCAGGATTGGTGCAGAAGTTTGGGGGGGAGCCCAAAAACTATCATGGCTTTCGGACAGAAATGCAATATGCCCTCAATCTGCAGTTTGATGAATTCCCTGACGAGGAATCACGAGTGGCTTTCGTGATTGAGCATCTTGAAAAGGGGCGAGAGACTGGGTTAGACCCCTGATGGCAGCGAATAGTGACGTCCTAAAGGACACAATGAAGTTCTTTCGCGCCATGGATCTGATGTTTTCCAGCGATATTGAAAAGGGAGTGGTGAGCAGACAGTTAATGGGTTGCAAACAGGGGAGCCGATCTGTCCGTGAGTATTGGACTGAGTTCACCATGCTTGTTCACAGATTGGGGTGGGACTTATCGGCGGAACCCATTCAAATGCTCTTTGAAGAAGGGCTTTCTTCGGCTGTGAAAGACGAACTTTCCCGGGCGCCCAGGGCGGAGTCTATGGACCAGCTGACCAAATCAGCGCTGGCCATAGGAGCGCGCCAGGAGGCGAGAGCATTGGAGAGGCGGGAAGGGAAAGGGGAACGTTGGAAGGAGTTCCGCATTCCAGACATTCCAGAGCCAACTTTCCCACCGGCAGAGCCGATGGAAATCGGAACAGCGCGCGCGCACAGTTTCAAAGCCCAGTGAGGGGGCAAAGAAGGAGGGAAAAGGCGCCCGGAAATGCTATCTCTGCCAACAGCCAGGTCACTTTGCCAGAGTCTGCCCCCAGAGGAAAGAATGGCAAGGGATGGTAGGAGCTGTGGATGGAAGAGAGGAAGAAATACCGGAGCAAGTAAAAGCCAACGCCTGGCTGCCACTGTCGGGGCACAGCAGCCAGGCCAAAGAGCAGTGAGAGTGCCCACGCCAGAACCTCCTAAACCCGCCCTAGTGATAGAAGTGACGCTAGAGCTGCCAAACGGACACCCTCTAAAGATAAAGGCGCTGTTGGACTCAGGCAGCTCCTGCAATTTCATGAGCAAAGAGTTTGCAGCTGAACACCAGATACAGACAATCCCTTTAAGCAGCCCCCTGCAGGTGACCACGATCGATGGCAGGGAGCTGTTGGGTGGAGAAGTCAGCTTGCAGACCGTCCCAATGATAATGAAGGTAGCAAGGCACACCGAACTGATAGCTTTTAATGTGGCCACCTTGGGAGGAGCTCCCATTATATTGGGGATGAGCTGGCTAGCGTTACATGATCCGCTGGTGGGCTGGCATCAGAGAGTGGTTTCTTTTGGTTCAGCACATTGCTTAGAACACTGCAAAGAGGGAAAGGGTTTGGCAGGGGTCCAAGCCACCCTAGCAGGGACTGAAGTAACAGAGAACGTGAAGGTACCACGACAATATGCAGATCTCCGTGACGTCTTCAGCGAAAGGGAAGCTGACCAACTACCCCACATAGACCCTTTGACTGTCAAATCAATTTACTCCCTGGAGCACAGCTCCCTGTAGGCAAGCTGTACGCCATGTCAGACAGAGAGATGCAGGAGTTAAGAGAGTTCATTGACAAGAACCTGAAGAGAGGGTTCATCAGAGAGTCCAGGGCGGTGGGGGCAGCCCAGTGTTTTTGTGGATAAGAAAAACACGAACAAGCCGAGGCTGGTGTGTGACTTCAGGGCCTTAAATGCAGTGTCAGAACCAGTAGCCTTCCCTATGCCCAGGATTGACGACATTTTGACAAGGGTGCGGAAGGGAAAGATTTTCACAAAGCTGGACCTAAGGGGGGCGTACAACCTGGTACGAATAAGGAAGGGGGATGAATGGAAAACCACTATGTTCACCCCTTTAGGGGCATTTGAATATTTGGTTATGCCCTTCGGCCTACAAGCAGGCTCCGCAACATTTCAATCGTTTATGAACCACGTCCTGGGGCCTTTGCTTTACAAGAATTGTGTGGCCTTTTTAGACGACGTGTTGGTGTATTCTGAGAATGAGGAGCAGCATGTGAGAGACGTCAGAGAAGTGTTGAGCAGGCTGCAAGCCAACCAGCTGTGGGTGAAACTGGAGAAGTGTCAGTTTCATACCAAGGAGGTGGAATTCCTGGGGTATCGCCTGTCAGACAAGGGATTGGCCATGGATCCCGGCAAGGTCCAGGCGGTGCTGGAATGGAAAACACCCAAAACAAAGAAGGATGTGCAGAGGTTCCTAGGATTTGGGAACTTCTATCGTAAGTTCATCCGAAACTTTGCCCACCTGACGGCGCCCATTACGGACTGTCTCAGCAGTAAGAAGAAGTTCGTGTGGACTGAGGAGGCGGAGCGAGCATTTGAGGAACTAAAGAGGGCCTTCGCCTCGGAACAACAACTCCTGCATGTGGATTTACAAAAACCGATGAGAGTGGAAACTGACGCATCAGACAGAGCGATTGGGGCGGTGCTTCTGCAGCCAGGGAAGAAGGGGTCAGAGTGGAGACCGTGTGCCTTTTTTTTCGCGAAAGCTGAACAAATCCGAGAGGAACTACACGGTGTATGACCGAGAGCTACTAGCCATTCATGAGGCGTTCCGGAGATGGAGGCACCTGCTAATTGGCGCACAACATAAGGTGCAAGTGTGCACTGACCACAAGAACCTAGAGTATTGGAGGACGGCACGAGTGCTCAACCAACGGCAAGTGAGATGGGCCCAGGAGTTCTCCAAATTTAACTTTGAGATTAGTTACGTGCCAGGCCCAGAGAACATTAGGGCGGACGCTCTCTCACGCAAACCTGCATATTTGGAGGAGGGGGCACCCGAAGAGAGACATGTCATTCCAGAGGACCGCTGGGTGTGTGGGGCGGCATTGGTGGGACAAAGAGAACTGGTAGAGGAAACAGAGAATGATGAATACGCCCAGAATAAGCTCAGAGGTCTTAGGGGTGAGGGAGAGGAACCAGGGGGTTTCGAGGAAAGAAATGGAGCTTTGTATTACAAAGGGGCACTGTATATCCCTGAAGGAGAGTTAAGGGGAGGGTACTCAAGCAGTTGCACGACAGCCCTACGGCGGGGCATTTTGGACAACACAAAACCATGTGGTTGGTCACCAGGGAATTTTGGTGGCCTAAGGTGAGGGAAGATGTACGTGAGTATGTAAGAGGGTGCGAGCAATGCCAGCGAGCCAAAGGGGAAAGGCGGGCGCCGGCGGGGCTATTAGAACCCTTACCAACCCCAGAACGACCTTGGGAGGCAGTGTCGATAGATTTTATGACTGATCTGCCGAAGTCCAAAGGGAAAACAGCCATCATGGTGGTGGTAGACCTACTAACAAAGATGTGCCACTTTGTAGCTTGCTCGCATGCAGTCACGGCGGAAGAGACAGCGAAGTTATTTGTAGAACACATTTTTAGGTTGCACGGGGTGCCATTGAGGGTGGTCTCAGACC